ATGGATTGTTCTCAATCATCGTCTGGGAAGACCAGGTGATGTCAAGCTCAAAGGTTTTAAATGCCCAGACTCATCTGACCTTGCCCCAACAATCAGCAACATGGGTTCTTCTAAGCAGTTGTCTAGAAAACTGAAACTGAAAATAGTTGACGACGCTCACAAAGCTGGAGAAGGCTATAAGAAGATAGCAAAGCGTTTTCAGATGTCAATATCCTCTGTTCGGAATGTAATTAAGAAATGGCAGTCATCAGGAACAGTGGAAGTTAAAGCAAGATCTGGAAGACGAAAAAAAATATCAGACAGAACAGCTCGCAGGATAGTGAGAAAAACAATTCAAAACCCACGTTTGACTGCACGATCCCTCCAGAAAGATCTGGCAGACACTGTACACTATTCCACTATAAAGAGATACTTGTACAAATATGGTCTTCATCGAAGAGTCATCAGAAGAAAACCTCTTCTACGTCCTCACCACAAAAATCATCGTTTGAACTTTGCAAATGAACATATAGACAAGCCTGATGCATTTTGGAAACAAGTTCTGTGGACCGATGAGGTTAAAATTTAACTTTTTGGCCGGAATGAGCAAAGGTACGTTTGGAGAAGAAGGGGCACAGAATTTAACGAAAAGAACCTCTGTCCAACTGTTAAGCATGGGGTTGGATCAATCATGCTTTGGGGTTGTGTTGCAGCCAGTGGCACAGGGAACATCTCACAAGTAGAAGGAAAAATGGATTCAATAAAATTTCAGCAAATTTTGGATGGTAACTTGATGCCATCTGTGAAAAAGCTGAAGTTAAAGAGAGGATGGCTTCTACAAATGGATAATGATCCTAAACACACCTCGAAATCCACGGGGGATTATATCAAGAGGCGTAAACTGAAGGTTTTGCCATGGCCTTCACAATCTCCTGACCTCAACTTAATTGAAAATCTATGGATAGACCTTAAAAGAGCAGTGCGTGACAGACAGCCCAGAAATCTCAAAGAACTGGAAGACTTTTGTAAGGAAGAATGGGCAAAGATACCTCAAACAAGAATTGAAAGACTCTTGGCTGGCTACAAAAAGCGTTTACAAGCTGTGATACTTGCCAAAGCGGGCAGTACAAGATATTAACTCTGCAGGGTGCCCAAACTTTTGAAGAAGCCATTTTTTGTTTTCTGTTATTTTGAAAGTGTAAATGATGGAAATAAAATCTAACTTTTGTTGACATATTATAAGAATGTCTAATCTGTAATTTGATGCCTTTTGGAGATTTTTCCATCTTTCCTTGGCTTCTTTATGCACATTAATACAAATTTTTAGCTGGGGTGCCCAAACTTTCGATCCCCACTGTATGTCCTCCTTCCTCTTCTGTAGCCTCAAATTTTCTCTCTATATTTCAATGCATTTAATATCATATAATCGTAGTATGACGTAATGCTGAAACTTGGAGCAAGTTCCCCTTAAATCTAGCTTTTTCACATGAGCGATCGGAAATCTATCCTCTAGCGGTATTAGATGTGGGTCACTACAAATCTGCCATGTTAAATGTAAAGTAGGTCTTTAGTAAAGCGTGAATAATTGTGATATTTTGTTCATATGCTCATATGCTGTACTTCCCAGTTACATGTTAATACAGTATTAGTTTAGTTGTCATGCCCTTGTGTATTACTCAGCTTCAAACGTTTCTAATCTTTACTATCTAATTTATATAGATTCCAATTTTCACTTATAGCCTCTAAATGATGAATTATCTGTGGAGATTTGACTGTGGCTTCTGAAATTGTACTTGTATTTACAGAGCAGAGCTACCATAGAAAGCCTTCTAAATAAGCAACTGCAGTTTCCTTTCTGCATAAATGATCATTAGCAGTCCTACTTAAAGTAGAACTTAAGGAAAAACTTTTTTTTTTTCTATTTTGGATAGAGTAATAATTGTTATAAACCCTGTTAATTTATTTTCTGTGTCCCACTGATGGGAGTCCCCTTCACTTTCTGTCCCATAGTCAAAACAGAAAGTGAATCCCTCCAATGTGAGGGAATCCCTGGTTGCCACTAGGGTTACCAGAACTAATGTCCGCATTGGAATATTTCTCCTATATTCCTGTTGTGGTGACAACCCAAATAATGGTGTTTGTTTTCGCTTTCCACCTATCATTGCAATTTCAGTTTGTTCAATCAAGGAGATACAGCAGCACATGTGGGCATCACCTAGGGCTGTTTCCTTCAGACTGACATCCAACCATCAAGGCGCTCTGAAATTTGCATAACTCCTCTCAAACGCCAGCCCACTACTTGCATCAGGGCTGAAGCTTTGAGAAGAGTATAGTGGCAGAGTGCTGTAACGATTTCAGGAAGTTATACACAGCATCTAGCTAGCCCCTCCCACTAGCCATGATCTGCATGCCTTGCTGAGAGAAGCATGATGTCACTGGGTCTAAAATAAGGTACATAAAGAAAATGAAAAGTATTTTATTAAACTGTTATTACTTGAGTGCAAGGATGCACACTTTTGGGTCAACCAACTGAATATGGTCTATGGCCTCTTGTGCTGGGGGCAAGGAGTCTGACCATCTACATATTATTCCTGTTATTGGAATATGAAAAAAAAATTGATGCTGGCAGTTTTTGGTGCAGAGCTTCTGGAGCAGAAAGTGATGCCTACCTTAAGATTCAGTGCCAGAATCTTATTTGGCAGATACTTCTCCACATAAAGCGAGTTGTGCTCCGCTATGTTGATGTAGTACACAATGTAATTTGCAGTGTTATTTATATTGTAATGGCATTTTGGAGCAATACTGTTTAAATATGAACTTTGGGAAAACAGCAAAGTAAACAATGAAAAAACTATTCTGTATATAAAATATATACACTGCTGAAAAAAATTAAAGGAACACTTTGAAAACACATCAGATCTCAATGGGGAAAAATATCATGCTGGATCTCTATACTGGGTAATGTGTTAGGAACATAAAGATGCCCCATTGTTTTATGGAAATGAAAATTATCAACCTACAGAGAACTGAATTCAAAGACACCTCGAAACACAAAGTGAAAAAATTATGCAGCAGGCTAGTCTATTTTGCTGAAATTTCATTGCAGCAACTCAAAATGGTACTCGTTTCTGTGGCCCCCATGTGCTTGTATGCATGCCTGACAATGTCGGGGCATGCTCCTAATGGGACATTTGGATGGTGTCCTGGGGTATTTCCTCCCAGATCTGGACCATGGCATCACTGAGCTCCTGGACAGTCTGAGGTGCAACCTGGCAGCGTCAGATGGACCGAAACATGATATCCCAGAGGTATTCTATTGGATTTAGGTCAGGCAAGCATGGGGGCCATTCGATGGTATCAATTCCTTCATCCTTCAGGAAATGTCTGCATTCTCTTGCCATATTAAGGCTGGGAATTGTTATGCAACAGGAGGAACCCAGTACCCACTGCACCAGCATTGGGTCTGACAATGAGTCCCAATGTCTAGCCTGTAGAGGTCTGTGCATTCCTCCATGGATATGCCTCCCCAGACCATCACTGACCCATCACCAAAACGGCATCGCCAGACCCTTTCACATCTGTCACATGTGCTCAGGGTGAACCTGCTCTCATCTGTGAAAAGCACAGGGCACCAGTAGCGGACCTGCCAATTCTGGCATTCAATAATAAATGCCAATCAAGCTCTATGGTGCTGGGCAGTGAGCACAGGGCCCACTAGAGGACGTCGGGCCCTCAGGCCACCCTCATGAAGACTGTTTCTGATTGTTTGGTCTGAGATATTCACACCAGTGGTCTGCTGGAGGTCATTTTGTGGGGCTCTGGCAGTGCTCATCCTGTTCCTCCTTGTACAAAGGAGCAGATGCCGGTCCTGCTGATGAGTTAAGGACCTTCTATGGCCCTGTCCAGCTCACCTAGAGAGTTCCTGTCTCCTGGAATCTCCTCCATGCTCTTGAGATTGTGCTGGGAGACACAGCAAACCTTGAGGCAATGGCACGTATTGATGTGCCATCCTGGAGCAGTTGGACTGCTTGTGCATCCTCTGTAGGGTCCAGGTATCACCTCATGCTACCAGTAGTGACACTGACCCTAGCTAAATGCAACACTATTGAAAAACAGTCAGAAAAGATGAGTAGGGAAAAATTGTCAGTGGCTTCCACCTGTGAAACCATTCCTGTTTTGGGGGTTGTCTCATTGTTGCCCATCTAGTGCACCTGTTGTTAATTTCATTACCACCAAAGCAGCTGAAACTGATTAGCAATCCCCTCTGCTACTGAACTGACCAGATCAATTTCCCAGGAGTTTAATTGACTTGATGCTTTACTCTGATTAAAAAGTGTTTCTTTAATTTTTTGGAGCCGTGTATATAATGGGGCAACCTTTAGAGGGGTTATGATAGCCCAAGGATATTGTGTATATGCCAGCTTTATACATTTTATTGAAATACTTTTATGTTCTTAAATAAACATATTAACTTTATGACACTGTAGCTGTATTTGTATTGGTATATACTGTATGCACCTGGTAAAGTCCCATGTTTCTAGATTTACTTGTGTCTCTATAATAGGGATGATGATACCCCCAAAATGGGATGTAGACAATCCTAAAACATCTTTTTTGCATACTACACTTATAACTGACAAAAGTTTGTGGGATAGCCTGGTTCTCTAGCACACTTGTATCTGTTTAGAAACCAATCTGGATGGAAAAATCCAACAGCCAAAGACCAAATGCCCCAGAGATGCTGGTATAATGTGGCTTTTTTCTTTACCTCCCACATAAGGGTTTCTCAACCCGAATTCCATGAAACCATAGGGTACCATGTTTGTTCCAATTAAAATGCATTTCGTGATTTTTTAATAAATACATGATTACATTCATTGGTGTATTTTGAATATCTACCTGGATTTCAGATTCAAATAATTAAGTGTTATTATACAGTATATAAGGCAGTTTAGGTTTATTTGTTCTTTATAGCTTTATTAGCTTTATTTTTTTCTCATTCCAGGTTCCTTGTTAGTAGCATGGGAACAAGGGCATTTTCCCATGACAGTATCTTCATACCTGATGAACAAGCTGAAGATGACCAGGAAGCTCAGGCCTCATCACAAGACTGTGTTGTAGGAAAAGTTAAATCCCTTCAGGTAAAGGCAGATATCTAGTCTTAAACTGTATCCAAAGATGTTGGGTAACATGTAGAAGTGTTAAAAACCACTGTCCAGTTTTTATTGATGTCTGGGACCCTGCTGGGTATTCACACCAGTGACCATAAATGGGCCAGTATATACCAATATAAAAAATGTCACTAGAACAGAAAAACAGGGAGGACATCTTCCAATAGGGACACCTGCTCCAGTGAAAACTGTCTAATTCGGGATTTCTCCTTCTGTTTGAGTGATTTCCTCTCACTTTCTATTGAGTCTCCGTGACAGGAAGTGAAGGGAGATCTACCCAATAGGACATGTAGAGCAAAAAAAAACTGACAGAAGTTTTAACCATTCCCAGATATCCAAAATAGAAAAGTGTTGGCTTTAGTTACTTTATTGAATTCTTAAATGCCAAAGAATGATGCCGAATGCCAAAGTTCTGAATTTTGTAGTTTGAGGCCACAAATATTCTTACCCCACAAACCATAGTCAACTAAAGCAAAGGGCCTTGAGCCTTTCTAGATATGGAAAAAGCAATGACAACTTATATGTATATGTTGGATTTTTTAATTAATGATATTATAGGTTTCTTTTTGGCTTCATGAACATCTGATTGTGTAAGGTATTCAGACAGACAATGGGGCCATGCTAGTATGATCCTACATACAGCCCTAGAGGAAGTACAGTGTCTCATGAGATTTCCAGGCCAGTGGTTGGGAACATTGATTGATGGCATTGTTTTACGGCTATTGAGTCAAACGTAACAAGTGGTGGTGACTGACATTAAATATGGTTTAAAAATACAATATGTGGGAGGCTGGTGGTTGACGTGAGGAATGTCAAAGTAGTCTGAGTCACATGTGATTTGAAAATCACTATCTGAGGAAAAAGTTTAACAAGAACTGTTTTGTTCTGTACCCATTTGAGGCAAAGTATTAACATCAGGAAAAATGTTCTCTTTCATCCATTCCCTACAATAAATGTATACCTTTGTTTATATATGGTAGCAACAACTGGGGAAAAACATCCGGTTTGGACAACCGCCACCAACTGGTACTCCGGTCAAGAAAATGCAAGACTTGGGAGCAGGCGCAGAGAAAATGGAGGAAACATACCTCAGCCCCATGGAGGTTTCAAGAGAACGTGACACTGGCCTTATAACTGATGGACATAGGGTAAGACTGACACATGAATCTGAGGAGATGGGAGGAAAAGATGTAATACTGTGAGAGATAAAAGGAGAAGCTTTTGACAAATGCAAAGGACAAACAGACTATACATGTGATCATAGACAGCAAAGAATGGTTGGACATATACTGTAAGTACAGCCTGACCACAACATCTGCTGTCATATCTTCAGTCCTCAATAGGAATTCTGTAATGACTGAACAGAAGTCAGTTCTTCCCTGGAGACAGTTATGTGGGAATGTCTGGGGTTATACCACAGACATTACTTTTTTTTTCAGCAGGCCTAACCAAAAAATATCCATATTGGGAGGTAGTCCATGGAAGTTTAAGAATGAAAGCTTGTATTCTTGTTCATAATATGCAAAACGCCATTAACAATACCTTTTAAAGGAAAAAGAATGAAAGTTGAAATGGCATGATGGAAAAGGTAAATAGGCAGGAAGCCCCTGAAAAGAATGAAAATGGGGACTTCTGTTATATCAAATAAATTAAATAATAAATTGGAGGTAATTAAAATTAGTATGAAGCGTAACAGACAAGTACCTCCAGATCAGTAGACAAAAGCATTCGTGGATTACAATAGTGACAGTCTGGACCACAAGTCCCTATTGGTTATGAAAAGTTATCTTTTATAATGACCAGCATTACTAACATGACTTTAACAACAATAAAAAAGACTGAGTCAGGCTGTATACTACAATTGAAAGATTCACTAGACTAAAAAAAAAAAACAAAACAGATTTTTTTATACATACATAAATAGTGCAGCGCTATAGAATAAACAAACATATATATAAATAAAATAAAAAATATTCAAATCAATAAATGTCTGTGCAACAGTGCAAAAAAATATAATTCGTGTGTTCCACCAGGAACCATCAAAAGTGACCATGTGACAAATAAATAAATTAATATACTAATCAATATATATCATACACATGTGCAAAATTGCAAATAAAGTGTAACACGTGTATTACACCAAAATATAAAGTGATAACGTGACAAAATATTGCTTAATAAAGTGCAATCAATGTGTTCCCTATACGGGAATATTCAAAGTGACCAAGTGACCTAATAACCTATATACCACAAATGATCTAAAAACCAACACTCTGTGTAAACATGTCCATACATATATATATATATATATAGTGTATTCCATACACAATCTTCATGCAGGTGCCATTCAGTGTCCACACTGTGTATATCCAATACTAGCTGCAATGGCCCCTCACCTCCTTACATTGACCCCACAGGGCCAGCTCGCTTTGGGACACAAACCCCACTCCGGTTTATTACAGGATCCTCCTCAGCGATGAATGCTGTATACCCAGCTGCTCCTCCGGTTCCTCTTTATATAGAACTTAAAGGGTACTTTGCCTCAAGGATCAACCACCACTATGTTGTATTTCCAGATCTCTCCAACCGCTGTACACTCTAAACTCCTCTCCGGTACATACATAAACAGAAGACTCCCATAGTGTAAAACCGCATTTAATAATTGGTTTATGCAGAAAGAAAATTACTCACATTTTATTTCCTCTTTCTTACAACATATATATGGCTCCTTCACCTCATGCTATGCCTGCCTTGCATGGGTTTGATATAGGGATTTCAAATATGGCCGCCACGCCGCAAATGACGTCACCACGCTTCCCAGACTCCTCCTCGCGCACCGACGCGTTGCGTCACGCTAAATCACGTGACTTCCTCAGGGTAAACGCCCCCAGAGGACTGGAAATATTATATAGCACCCTGGCTCCAATCATACACGAGGGGCGGGCTCGGGCGGTCATTTTCCCGAGGTCCGCTCTCCTAATGCAGATATCTATACACATACCAGTACTGCGGTGATAACCACGATAGAATGACAAAACAAAAGACCCACAACCGAACACCAGTCCGTTTATATGGGCCTCCCTACCTTCTCAATGTAAATAGTTACTGTAAGTCCAACCCCCTCTAAAAACAGGTATTTTATTAAATGTAGAGAAACAAAAGGAAATAATGGGAAAAAAAATGTCGTTTCAGTCTACAGTAACAAAGAGAGATTATAAGATATTCCCGTATAGGGAACACATTGATTGCACTTTATTAAGCAATATTTTGTCACGTTATCACTTTTATATTTTGGTGTAATACACGTGTTACACTTTATTTGCAATTTTGCACATGTGTATGATATATATTGATTAGTATATTAATTTATTTATTTGTCACATGGTCACTTTTGATGGTTCCTGGTGGAACACACGAATTATATTTTTTGCACTGTTGCACAGACATTTATTGATTTGAATATTTTTTATTTTATTTATATATATGTTTGTTTATTATATAGCGCTGCACTATTTATGTATGTATTGATTTAACTCACATTGGTAGGAGGGCAAGTGTCAGCAGCTATAGAGAGAGGGCCCATTCTGAGCGCAGGAAATTGTCATTTTTAAAAAACAGATTTTTTAATACTCTATATTGAGGTCTCCAAACTTTCAAAATAAAGGGCCAGTTTATTGTCCTTCAGACTTTAGGGGGCCAGATTGTGGCCAGTGGGAGTGAAAATGCCCCAGAGTCAGTGGCAATAAACAGTAATCAAAGGCTTGGTGGTCAGCAAAAGTAAAAGAAGGTCATTGGAAGGGGGTTTAGTGCCCGATCACTGGTATTACTGGGAGGAATACTGTCCCATCATTGGTATTGTTGGGAGGAATAATGCCCCATTGTTTTTATCACTGGAAGGAGTTGTGCCCCATCATTGATTTCAGTGGGAGGAATAGTGCCCATCATTGGTATCAGTGGGAGGAATAGTGCTCCATCACTGGTTTTGGTGGGAGGAATGGTACCTCATTGTTGGTGTCAGTGAGAGGAATAGAGATTTGTATCATTGGAACAGTGGAACAGAGTCCCAAGGGATGGGTAAAGGCAAGCAAAGGGCCACACCTGGCCTGTGGACCACAGTTTGGAGACCACTGCTCTATATCCAGGAGTACAATGCAACTTTGTAAATATAATCTATTACCGCTCTCCTTGGAATGAAATTATATACATGTTGTATATCTAATTAGAGCATGTACACATTTCCTTTAATAGTTACACTTTATATGGCAACCAAGTCTGCACATACAGTAACAATGAAATCTGTGATGTACTGCCTTAACATGATGTAGAGAAAATGTCCTGCACTTGATTTTGAAATGATTTAATTCAAGCCATTATGATTCCATTATTAAAAAGGTTTTATGCGTTGTGCTGAGTGGTTGTGAGTAGAGTGCATTTATTCAGACATCGAGTACAGGATGTTTTCTTACCATTTTGAGAAGGTTGTACATGACATTTACTTTAGTCTTTTCTTTCCCTGTGCTTTGAGAATTGTTATCACAGAGTCCTAGAAACAGAAAGGAATTTGATATACATACCTGCTTAATTCAGTGTCTTCAGTGCCAGGATGCATAAATTAAGATTTCTATGTTAGAGAGCATTCATGTAATTACTGGAGAAACAGGTCACTAATTGCTGGAGGATGGCAACCTCTGTGTGAGCTTAGGTACAGTGCAGAGAGCAGGACCGAGAACAAAGAAAGCATCATGGATCCTTTTATATATACGTTGTGTTCTCCACAATTATCTGGCTCAAGTCATGGATGGGATGGAGATGGTTTACCGAAGCTTAGGAATGGGTGGCCTGCTTCTGGCAGTTTGTAATTTACAGTGTTTACACTTTTACAGCCTTATAATGGCAACCATCACAGGGATTAAAAAGGGGTATAGGTTATATTTGTAAAGTTACTTGGTATAAACACACTTGACATCCCCTTCCTCCCCAAACAACTGGACACCAGAAGTAATCATCCGTTGCAGCAACTTATCTTCACTAACCTTTCGGGGGGCTGGCTCCCAGCATTTGTAATTCGCTTCACACAAACTCTCAAAGAGAAAGGGAAGACACTCCCTATTTAAAAGTATTGATATCAGTTAATTTAACTCTTCTTTGTACAGACTGTGCCACCTGGTATGTACAGTTTTTAAGGAGTTTCACTCCAATCAGAGCTTACTCATATGGTAGATTAGGCACTACCTAGTTTTTATGCCTGCCAATAACCTCTCAATCTGTTGTTGAAAGGTGCCCAATGGATCTCCAAAAAAGGAGGGAGATCTCCTGCAGTATGCCACTTGCTGGTTTGAGGTAGCCAGTGTCGAGGAACATTGAAGAAAGCCAGTCTTAAAGTGCAATATGGGCACCTCTCAATAGGCTATTACTGCCCCATATTGTACTATTGGTCATATAGCACCTACTTAGCAATTTATATTTTAGATGCCACATTATAGTTTGGTGACAGGCGTGTTTAAGAAGATGGCATATTCTCTCTGTTATACATCTTTTAAAATGTTGAAGTGTATTGATAGAAATCATTGCATTCTATTAAAGCAAAATTTTCTGTCACTTTCTTTTTTACCAAAGTCATAAGAATCTTTTAACCTGCACTGTAAGTATATCACTAGTCTGGTAGCCTCTAAACACCATGAGATCTTCTCTATGTTACCCAGTTAGCAACCATTATATAAAGTTAATTATGGCATTGTGTGGTGGTCCATTGACAGTGGTTTATAAGATATACATTGTGGATAATAGATAACTGAATTTTGGAGCTCATTTTGAAGAATAATTCAGATTGAACCAATTTATTTTATATTTGAATATTTTAAAGTAGATGGATTCTATCACTATATCATCCTGAAAAGTGTGTCACGTATTGTGACAACCAATTCCAAGCTAAAAGAACAGACCATCTGGATTACTATTGGAAGTAATAATTAAAGAATCCTTGGGCATATGTCAGCACGTACTCTGGATTTTATTAATACACATTGCCTGCTGGTAATAGGATTTTTTTTCCACTTAAGGAGCTGTAATAATATAGTTGTGCTTGCTATAATATCATTCTTATGTGCCTGTTTTTTTTGGATCTACGATTAAACTATTGGTATTTGTAAAACAAAATAAATCATTTTTGAAGCCCATGTGGAAAGTAGCCACTGGCACTGGCTCACCAAACAGGTGAAAATAAAAGGAAAAAGAAAATAATTAGAAAGCTGTAAATTTTTGTTTTTGGGTTTTCTTATTATATTATAGTGATGGAGCTTATATTTTTTTTTCTAGGCAAGATCACTGAGCTCCCACAGCCCACGCAATGCTCCTGAAACAGAACATAAAACAGAGGAAAAGGTAAATGTCCTGACTTGTGTATATCAGTTGACCATAATATCCCAAACACAAATATTCATCTTTACTGATGTTTGAAAGGATGCCCAAAGCTATTCAGCTGAGCAGGGGAAAGGGAGTTCAATATGGAAATAATGATTTTCAGTTTATTTTTATTGTATATGTTTTTGTTAAGCTGAACTCTGTGGGGTCAATACATTGACCCCTGTAGTGGAGCTACCCCTGCAGTGCAAAGATTAAATGCTCGTTTTTGTCTAGAGGGAACATAGAAAGCAGCTATAGTTACCTTATTCCTCACTTCCACAGGCTCCCACCTGCACAACTGATCTCTCAAAGCCGATTCACTTTTGTCACTCCATCAGTTGCAGGCATTCTGATGTCATAGTACACAAGCAGAACCAGCAGTTCAGAATTGTGAGTAATAACGCCAAGGACCCATCTGAAACCCAGAGCATTGGAGAGTGAAGAAAAGCGCTGACTGTCGGGGGAGCAAGGATTAAGGTAAGTATAACTTCGTTGATGTCCCCCTAGACAAAAATGAGCTTTTATCCCTTGCAGTGTGTGTGGGGGTGGGCACTGCAAGGGTACATTTTTATTTTACATGGAGTTCAAATTTAAGTTTGAATTATAACCCGTATTTTATTTTTTAACAAATAAACATTTAGTATGTGACAAAGGATTCCCAGAGCACTGTGGGTTAGTAAAAGGGACAGTGCAGCAGTACTCATCTCTTTTGATAACAGATGATTCAAAGGGTGTATAAACTAAAGATAAAGATGTTCAAAGGAGCTTTAAAAATGTGTATGGTCAAAATTTTTTTCATTGAATTAATTTGGATAAAGTGGGGAAGGATTAGAAACCCTGTCTTGCTTTGACTGCTATCTTGGGCTGGTTAGGGACACTTGCCTTTACTTTATGTCAAGGTTGATAACAATTTCACCAGACAGAAAGTGAGGGAAAATCTACAACAGGGACACGGCAAAAAATGTGGACATTGTTTTCTAGCCTTTCTCTTTTCTAAATTCAGTTCCACTAGATTAAAATTGTTGTGAGCGTGACAGTAAGTGAGGGAAATAATCTACTCCAACACAGCAGTAAATTCCTGAGTTTCTAATCCTTCTCCATGTTATCTAAAATGGACACAAACTGTAGGATTCACCTGCTGGCTCAATGCAGTTTATTATGGTTATCATTATTTTTATGTTTTAGTCCTGACTTTATTAAGTAAAGAAAGAAAATATGTGCAAAACAGTGTATGTTCCCTTCAAAGATCTTCTTTTGTGTGGTTACAAGTATGTTGAATTTCTATAACCATTTTATGGTAAGACAGTGTACCATTAGCCGTGTCCGCCAAGGCAAGTATTCAGTGCTCTTGATAGAGAATAAGTAAACCATTTACAGATATAAAATCACATCAGGAAGATATTTTTTAATGTGCGCTTTAGTAAAAATGAACATAACAATAGCAGAACTTTATTAAACAAATAAAGAAAGTGGCATCCTCTATGAATCAGAGTAGGTAAAATTCAGTGGATAAGCTGAAGTTCATGTATGCATGTGTGTTCATTATTCTGTAAATCTTAAAAGATAAGTTCACCTTTGGGAACATGTTGCATGTTACACCTTTACACCTGTATTTAGGGTGTAATATGTAATATAGTTCAACACCCTCACCCTCTGATTCCTCCCCTCTTCCACACTAGTTCCATCTGCCACCATGGAACAGCCATCCATAGTCCATTGACATTTACTTTAGCTTTCTAACTGAAATCCTGCACACAGGTACAGGCAGAGAGATGGAGGACATCTGTGCATTGCACCCACATTCCACTGATCGTGGGTACAATGCTTTGCTGTGGGAAATATACAATTGTGTTCAAAATAATAGCAGTCAGACATCACTAACTGATCAATCACTGTTTTTGGTAGAAATGATATTTCTAAATGGCAAATAATTTAGTAGCAGGTGTAGTAGAGTAATAGAAATCCAACAGACCCAACAGTCATGACATGCATGCTGCTGATTCTGTGTAATTGAATCACTCATTGAAAGGGGCATGTTCAAAATAATAGCAGTGTGGAGTTCTATTAGTGAGGTCATTCATTCTTTGAAAAACAGGTGGCAATTATTGCCCTTATTTAAGGAAGGAAGGCAGCAAATGTTGTACATGCTGGTTACAGTGCATTTCTCTCTGAAATTCTGAGGAAAATGGGTCGTTCCAGACATTGTTCAGAAGAACAGCGTACCTTGATTAAAAAGTTGATTGGAGAGGGGAAAACATATAAAGAAGTGCAGAAAATGATAGGCTGCTCAGCTAAAATGATCGCAAATGCTTTAAAATGGCAACCAAAACCTGAAAGATGTGGAAGAAAGTGAAAAACTACCATTCAAATGGATAGAAGAATAGTCAAAATGGCAAGGACTCAGCGAACAATCAGCTCCAGAAAGATCAAAGAAGGTGTAAAGTTACCTGTGAGTAATGTTACAATTAGAAGACGCCTATGTGAAGCCAAGCTATCTGCAAGAAGCCCCCGCAAAGTCCCACTGTTGAAAAAAAGACGTGCTGAAGAAGTTACAATTTGCCAAAGAGCACATTGACTGGCCTAAAGAGAAATGGCGCAACATTTTGTCGACTGATGAAAGTAAGATTGTTCTTTTCGGGTCTAGTGGCCGGAGACAGTTTGTCAGACGACCCCCAAACACTGAATTCAAGCCACAGTACACTGTGAAGACAGTGAAGCATAGTTGCGCAAGCATCATGATATGGGGATGTTTCTCATACTACGGTGTTGGGCCTATTTATCGCATACCAGGGATCATGGATCAGTTTGAATACATCAGAATACTTGAAGAGGTCATGCTGCCTTATGGTGAAGAGGAAATGCCCTTGCAATGGGTGTTCCAACAAGACAACGACCCCAAACACACCAGTAAACGTGCAACATCTTGGTTCCAGACCAACAAGATTGACGTTATGGAGGGGCCAGCCCAATCCCTGGAACCTAATCCAATAGAAAACTTGTGGGGTGACATCAAAAATGCAGTTTCTGAGGCAAAACCAAGAAATAGAGAAGAACTGTGGAATGTAGTCCAATCATCCTGGGCTGGAATACCTGTTCACAGGTGCCAGAAGTTGGTTGACTCCATGCAACACAGATGTACAGCAGTTCTCAGAAACAGTGCTTATACAACTAAATATTCATTAAGTGATTCAAAGGAAAGCAAAATCGTCAAACATTTTTCAGTTTATATAGTGAATGTTTGAGTTTGTAAAGAAGAATACAAACACTGCTATTTTTTTGAAAAGTCTAATATTCACTTTTCTTCAATTTGTTTAGAGGAACAACACAAATTTGATATATTTTTCTTCATATTTTGATTTGGAATAGAATGTGTAGTGTTCCCAATGCATTTTGTGTGTATGGAAATAAAAGCTATTAGAAGGATTTTGAGCTTTATTCGCTTTTTTCAACACACTGCTATTATTTTGAACACAACTGTATGTGCATTCATTTTTTTTCTCATTAAAGGTGAAGTTAGCCATGGTTTAAATGCCAAATTGTAAACAGTTTGCTAGTGTTGCCACCTAGCTGGTATTTTAGCAGCTTGGCTGGTAAATATTGCACTTGTTATTAAAAAAAAGAAAGAGATAATAGGATCCCTAAAAATCTATCAACCTGTACCTTTGTACAAGGTAATAAGAATTTTTTTTATACAGCTAGTATGCCTTATACAGGGGTTAGACAAAGAAATGGAAACACTACATGATTTGCAGGTGTGAAAGTGACATATTTTGCTTTGACTGAAGCTATGTAACATTTTTTTGCGTCTGCTGTGTGATGAGACACCTAGCTAACAGGTGGGAAGGTTCACTTTTGTCAATCACTGCTTGCACTGCTAGTAATACATAGTCACGTCAGAGCTTACTGAGCTTCAAAGAGGGCAAATTGTTGGTGCCCGCTTAGCTGGTGCCTCTGTGACTGATGTTGCCAATTTATTTACCGTGTCGCGAGGTACGGTATCAAAGGTTATGACGGCATATACAGTTTCTGGGAAAACGTCATTTGATAAGCATAAGTGCGGTTGACATGGTCAGCTGACACAAAGAGACAAAAGTACATTGCGTGGGATTGTGATCCGGAGTAATAAAACAACTGCTGCAAAAGTGACTGCAGAGCTCAATCTCAGTCCCATAAAGACTGAGATTAAGCTCTGCAGTCACTTTTGCAGCAGTTGTTTTCTTATTCTGGGTCACAATCCTGCGATTCCCATCTGTTAGCTAGGTCTCTTATCACTTCAGCTTTTAACACGAAACATGTCATCACTTTCAAATCATGTAGTGTTTCCATTTTTTTGCTCAACCCCTGTATGTGCATCAGATGGTGCATACAGCTTGAATGATCTCAGCAGGAGTGAACACATAGTGTATCATCAAGTTTCATCAGTAGCAAAGGCCATGCAGTTTCCAGCAGGGAGATGTGCTGTGCATTGCCACTACATGTGACTACTACTGAGATGTGATGACAGGCACCATTCATTCATTACCATAATGATAAATGCAGGCTGAATTAATATATTGATATGCATCTATTGCATCAGAAATCTGAAGTGTGTTAGCAATATGTGATATAGTACATCTACAGATTTGAGCAGTTTCATGCTTATAGGTCATATTTATTTATGTGTTCGTACTTAGAAAAGGACAAAAGTTATCAAGGTCATCCTAGGTTGTGCTAGGATGCCCAGACTCTATAAACATAACACAAATCAAATGTAAATCCATTGTACTTCCAGTATTCCAAATACATAGGTGATGTAGCACCAAGTACAGAAGGCTGAGTTTGAGAAATGCTTACCTAAACACTTTGGAAGTACATTTCTTCTCCTTCTTCCCATCATCCTGACTCAGGAAAATGTGTGTAGGAAGCCCTCCAGCAACATAGGATGTAATCACTGGCATTCTGCTCCATTAATAGCTCTTGAGTTTTCTCCTAATAGGTCTTCAGCAAGTATCAGCTTTAACTCTTTAAATGTTGGCTTTAGTGATGTTAGACATGATGCCAGTTCTATGTGGCATAAAGGGTCGCGCCAGGGGCAGTAGTTGAGAATCCATTCCTTACACTAAAAAATGGTTCTTGTAAGGAATTGCTAACAAAGATGGCCAGTGTAAGGATTTGTTCACCTTTGGGAACATGGCACATGTTCTACCAGTTTATAGGGTGGAACATGTAACATGTTCCCACTGCTTCAGCCTCTCCCCAATCTGCCACCTCTAGTGACAGAAAGCTGGGGATCTTTTTCCCGAATCCACTGTCACAATTTTTGATAAATAGCAGCTGTGTGGGGCTCCACCTGTCCAGGCCATGTCATTCACAGAGTTCTGTGAATGGGAAAACTACAACTACTGTCAACCTTTGCGGCTTACAGCTTGTAGTTTTCAATGAACTACCAGACAGCTGGTGAGCACCCTAGGTAGGTCATTGATGGCTATTATTTTTCTGTGACTGCCTGCCCATATGAGGTATGAGCAGGCAGCTTAAACTGACAGTCTGCAGGAGCCTTGCCTTGCACCTGTGATCTGCTAATCGCCAGTGCAATGCTTTACAGGCTTCTAATAAACAAAAATAGTAAATGCACATTTTCCTAAATGAAAAAAGATGTGCATTTATTATTTTTTTTTAGCTGAACTTATCCTTTAAAATCCTTCAGAAGTCACAGAGAATATTCCAGTAAGGTGATCAGAGGAAGATAAAGGAAAAAAGGACTCTCTCCTTTGGAAATAGCCCACTGATTCCTAAAGGTTTCCAGATTTTATTGGAAATGGAAAACCCATTCTATTTAAACTGTATCCTATATCTATTTCAGTGTATGTATTGATTTAAGGAAGTTTTACAGACCAAACAATCTGTGTTGTGTGTACTGGAAAAGAACAAGAGGAATTCAGTGATAACCATTATATCAAATATACAGTACATCCAATAAAAACAATAGAACAAAAAGTAAAGATGCAATGTTGTTTCTAGAGCGTACCCTGGACCAGTTTGATAGAGACCATGACAAAGGATCTTAATGCTATACCACATCACATATGTGGATAGGTTTGACCCAAACAGTCAGCTGGAAAAGGACTGTGCGAAGAGAAGGTAGAGAGAATTAAAGAAAAAAAAAAAAAGGAAAAGGAGTCAGGAAAGAAAGGGAACAGCCTGTACTAGAGAAGAGAGGAAAGGGGAAGAGGGTAGGGGAGAGAACCTGGCAAGCTGTATTCTATTTCTATAACTGCAATTACATTTGATATATTATCTTTTTGATGTGCAGGCAACACCAGTGAAAACATCACGGCCAAAACGGCCATCGGGCACAATTGAGTCCATAAATCTGGATGCCGTTCCTCGATCTGTTGCACGACTAGATAACAGTGCTGCTAAACACAAACTTTCTGTCAAGCCAAAAAACCAGAGAGTGTCAAAGAAACACAGAGGCATGTCCCAGGTAGTATATTTTAGTTTAATAGATTATGTGCTTGCTTCAGATATGTATAATGCCTGAAATATTATAATAAGTTTTTTCATTAAGTAGATAACTTTGAAAATAAGGGTGAAGCCTTCCAACATTATTCTTTAAAAATAACAATTGCCTTTTACAGGCACTGACATCTGATTAGTTAAAAACAAGGGTTCTGTTACAGAACCATTGTATTTTATTAATATTCTGCAATGCCATATTTCATCATTACATGATGCTGCAGATAATATCTGGGTTTACCGCTTCTGTTATCAATAAAACTTGAGAACTGTACAATCTACATGACCTTTATGTTTCTACACAGAAAAAAAGTCTACAACTGTCATTACAATTTTTGCTCATTTGTTACCATTTAGAATGCTTTAAAGATACCAGTGTAAACTGCAAAAATAATTTCAAGGAAAAGTTTACAGTGCAATATTATATTTGCTTTAGCTATCACATCTAATTTGTCCACAGGACTTCAACACTATAGAAGACAATGAAAATGAAATCACTTTGAATATGCAAAGATCCCTTGAGAAAGCCATGTTCCACTCCATGGATATACCCTCCCATAATATACTAATGTCTGATCATTTTGAACGAAAAATTCATGAATCCCAAGTATCTGAGCAATTTCGAACTTTGGTGCCTAAGGGGGAAAACAAGATCAATAAAGATCAAGAAGGCAAACAGACAGATCCCAGTACCAGCAGACAAGTAGTACAAGAAATTAGGCAGCCTGATGAAGAGAAAAAGTCAGAAGCAGATAAACGGAAAGAAGAAGAAGAAAGAAAGAGACAGGAGATCATTAGAAACATAGACTTGGAAAGGCTTCAACAAAAAATAAGAGAACAAAATGAAAATGAACTGAAAGAACAGCGTCGGCGTGAGGAGGAGAGAAAACAGAGAGCTGAACAAATTCTAAAAGAGTTAGAAGAGCATAGAAGACAAGAGGAGCAGAAGCAACATGAGCTGGAGCAGAAGAAAACATTTCAACTGGCAGAGGAACAGAAGAAACGGGAGCTGGAAATACAGAGAGCACTTCAGATAGCAGAAGAGCAAAGAAAAGAGGAAATGGAGAGGCAAAGAACTATTCAGTTAGCAGAAGAGCAGAAAAAACATGAACTAGAGCAGAGAGCCATTAAGATAATGCAAGAGCAGAGAAAATATGAACAGGAGAAACAGGAGTCCCATCATATAGAAGAAGAGCAGAAAACAAGACAAGCAGAGCAGCAGAAAGCTTTCCAGATTGCAGAGGAACAGAAAAATTGTGACTTGGAGGAGCAAGGAGTACTTCAGAAAACAGAAGAGCAGAAACAACATGAACTAGATATGCAAAGGGTTCCCCAGGTTGCAGAAGAGCTAAAAAAAACGTGAACTTCAGCAGCAGAAAGACCTTCAGATAGCAGAAGAACAGAGACAACATCAGTTAGAGCTAAAAAGAACTCTCCAGATCATGGAGGAGCAGAAAAAGCAGGAACTAGAACTGCAGAAAGCAGAAGAACATCAGAAAAATAATTTGGACCAACAAAAAACTGTTCAGATAGAAGAACAAAAAGGTCAGGGGTTGTTGGAGCAGAAAGCTCCCCAGACAACTGAGGAGCAGCAATTACAGACACCAAAAAGCCAAAGTCACCAAGTATCAGAGGAAATCGTAGTCCAGCAGTGTATAAAAGAGCAAATGAGAGCTGACGATCTACATAGAACTGATTGTCAGAAAAAGCCAGACTTTCAAGAAAAAAAAAATTTACAGAAGAAAGAGCAACAAATACCCGAGGACATCAAGGAGCTTATCCCAGAACATCTTTCCCCTCTGTATACAGAAGCTGTCTCAGCAGAGGAAGATCTACTTGAAGAACAAAAAATGGAGGTGGAAGTTAAAGGAGATGAGGAAGAACTAAAGCAGAAAAAACAAAAAGAAGTAGAATCTCAGGAGCAGGAAAGAATTAATGAAGAACTAAGATGGCAGGAACTTGACCAAAAGCAGAGGCCATTTACATTTAAAGTCACATCAGGTGAAAAGCAAATTATATTTGAGAAAGTTAATTTAACTCCAGTTACTGTACCAAAAGAGCCAATAATATTCCCAGGTACACAAGATGCAAAAGAAAATAAGGGCACTATTAGTTCACACTCTCTTCCATCTGCTCAGTGCATACCCCACACTGCCATTTTGGTAACAGGAGCACAGCTTTGTGGTACAGCTGTAAACCTACATCAGATTAAGGATCCTGCTTGTAAGTCTTTACTGGGCCTCAGTGATGAAAGAAAATTAGATATAACAGAAAACAAAATGCAGAAAGAAAAGGACAGTACTAAACATGTCAGTAGTAAGACAAAGTATACATCAGAAGCATTAGACAATCAGTCATTCCTAGCAGAATGGGCTTCCATAAGGTCTAAAATACTAAGCAAAGCTGAAATTGCAACTGATGAAAAGAACCAAAGAAGTCCTCCCGACTCTGGCGATGACAGATTGGCCAAGAGCAGGGTTGATTCCCATAGCAGCTTACGGAAGACAATGTCAGCTATCCCTAAATTTTCAATAACACCCGCATGGCAGAAATTTCCAGAAACTGGAAAATTAACAGAAATTAGTATTGAGACCTCTATAAAACCTCCAAGTAAGGAAAAAAACATAGCAGTATTACCTGACAGCACACCTCAGGGCAAGACTGGAGAGAGGACAGTCATGGCTCCAGAAATGGTGACTAGAATTAAAAAGCAAGTTACCATTGATGGGAATGCAGAGGGATGGATATTTTCCAAAGATCTTCCATCCTTTTTAGTTCCTAACCCACCACAATCTCCTCGTCGGGGGCATTTGGAAGGGCAAATGTCACTTGAAACACAATTTAGTAATGGCACTTTGAAAACAGATAAATTATTGCAAAATACAGAGGACAAAACCTCTCCATTTGGAGTCAAATTAAGAAGGACAAACTATTCATTAAGGTTTCATGCTGATCCACAGAATGAACAAAAAAGGAAAAAAAAAACGATATAGTGCAGGAGACAGCTTTGAAGGGGTTCCTGCCCCATTAACGCCAACAGATGAAACAGAAATTAGGACTATAGCCAGGAAAGAACTTTTAGGGTCACCAGTGAAGATGAAGAAAGATAACCTTACTAAAGATCTAGTGGATGCCTCAAGCAATGTAAATGATAATGCCCAATTTATGGTCCCTTCTATAGTGTCAGGATCAAGTCCCCATATGTCATTTCCTAATAAAGACAAAGTAATCCCCAAATCACCAACTATACAGAAACCATCTCTTGCTCCAAAACCTGCCAGCCCAACACCACCATCTTCTCCAATTTCCCATCTGGGCAGAACAAATGTGACTGACCTATATGGACAACGGTTGGAAAAAAATGAGAAGGATAAAGAAACAACTGGAGAAATGAATCTTTCTTTATCTTCTCCAAGCCATGATGAAGTTGTACAGCAAGATTCAAAAGATAAAGCTGGTCTACCATCTATTTCTTGGAGAGAGAAGACAGACAAAAGGCCTGAGAGATTAGGAAAAGGTTAGTTTTAATATATATATTTTAAACCCATACATTATTTATTTCTGTTTTCCACTATACTTTGCATCATGCAAGACATGCATTCTATGCTTACATTACCTACTTCAAACACTACTTTCCAAAGCTTTGGTCACAAACCACAGTGATTCATCAGTATGGACGCCAGGGGCGGACTGACAACACATGGGGCCCCCGGGCAATAGGGGATCATGGGACCCCTGTGTCCTAACCCAAACTCAAAAAAGCCTATGAAAAAGTTATCAGGGGCATCTCGTGGGGCCCCCTACTGACCGAGTGCCCGAGTTTCTACATGGTCAGTCCGCCCCTGATGGAAACTTGAGGCTGGAAGCAAACTATTTCTACCTCTTTTGCTGTTAATGTAGACTGTGCCTGAAATGCTGCTTAGGGTTTTAAATAAAGATTTTAGTCAAGGTGGGTTGTCTATAAGATGTGTTTTAATAATTTAGGACAACAGAAACTCTTAGTTCTCTGATAATGCCTATTATTATTATTATTGGGGGATCAGGAAGGATATTTTTCCCCTGCAGGAGCAAATTGGATCATGCTTTGCTGGGGTTTTTTTTGCCTTCCTCTGGATCAACTGTGGATGTAGGATTATAACTTTTTTTTTAATGGTTGAACTGGATGGACTTTTTTTTTTTTTTCAGCTAGACTAACTATGTAACTATCGCTATAAGTAATTTTAACCACTTGAGGACCACCTACCCGCAATGTACTATGGACAGGTGGCCCGTACATGCACAGCAATGTACCTATACGTTGCTGGTCTCTTCTGGGTATAGGGCGTGCATACCCCTGCCCGCCAAATCCCATTTTCACCATTGAGAGTATTCTTCCCCTCTTTGCTGTAGTGTGGTATACCAGCTCGATAGGATGGTGGATAAGAAATGCTTGTCTCATGTGGTGAAAACAGCATAACAGTTCATAGGTACAGCCCAACCGAATTTGGATACAGCAAATGCCAGCAGATTCTAAAAGAGGGCAAAAGCTATTAGTAGTGATCCAACCCATCCGGGTTATAGTGTGCTTGCCCTGTTGCCATCCAGAAAAAGATATAGGTCACTTAAAATGCACACTAATCGTTTGAATTAGTTTTTTTTTTCCCTGGGGCTATATATATATATATATATATATATATATATATATATATATATATATTGTCTAGAAACCCACCAGGTGCAGAGTTTTAGGAATTTTATGTGAAATTTGTAGTTTTTTAAAAAATATTTTTGCTACATTTAAGAACAGATACACTTTATGATCAAATGTTTGTGGACACCAGATAATCTCAAATACTATATGGCAAAAATTATGTGACACCCCCTCCTACAATAATTATTGAGAGCAGGTGTTTCCAATGAAGGTTCTTGTTAATGTTACAACATACAAAGAAATATTAAACAACTGTGCTTCCAACTTTGTGATGACAGTTTTAGGACATGACTGTGCCCAAAAGTCCAGTCCAAAATGATATGGTTTGATGAGCTTGGTGTAGAGACAGAGCCTTGACCTCATCCCTATTGAAAATCTTTGGAATAAACCCAAATGCCTATTGCATGCCAGACCTTCTCGTTCAACATCAGTACTAGACCGCACAAATGCTCTTTTAACTAAATGGGACAAATTCCCACAGACACGCTTTCCAGTGGAACCTGTTTTGGCCCAAAGTGTTGTTCAGTTGTGTATCAATGCTCATGCTTTTGGAATGGCATATTTACCATACTTGTATATGGTAGGTGTGATGGTCAAGTGTCCACAAACTTTGATCATATAATGGGCATGTGTTAAGAAGCATGTACGTGTGGTTGTGTTGAGAATTGTTTTTTAATTTTGCTGTTGTAAAGTGTAAAGAGTACCTTGATAAATTTCATTTTTATGTATAATGACAATAACATATATCATGTTATCATAAAAAAGGTAAATACTTTGGTTTCAAATATGCTACCATAAAGGTATTTGGTGCTGGCAGCTAAATGCAAGCTCAAACTGGCACTGTGTGTAACCAGACAAGTGATGCCACTTCAGCAACTCAACTTTATGCATTTGGCTTCTAGCTCAAAACCAAGAGATATGTATATCCTTTTATGATGTTTTACTTATACCCAAGAAAAGGACAATACCCCAAGACATGCTGGCTTTTATGTGCACCCAGCCAAAATAAATAAAAGTTTGGCCAGAAGGCAAAGTTGCTTTTATTCATTTTCTTTCAGTTGGGTAATCAGTGGCTTGTTCATTCCCACATCCTTCCACATTTTAATGCCCTTTTGTTGATCACACAGCATACAAACTCTGATTCCCTCCACACATTTTGGTATCCCCATATAATTTCCTGCATTTTATTTAATTGTAAAACCTAGTGCCCGTATCCCCTTCTCTCTAGGTTTTCTTACTGACCAGCTGGTCAATCCTTACCTCTTGCTAGAAAAGGAGTCTAATACTAGAGTTTCATTTGTTATCATAAAAGGAAATCAGTTTCAGTTCTTCCTAACTATTTTGATAACACAATGAGCCTTACAATAGTATTTCAATCAAGGCCACACAGTAATGGCAACAATCTACTAAAACATTTTTATTTCAGACATGTTCCTTGAACATCCCCACCTGTGGGTATAACCATGGGCAAAGACATTCAGTGAACACGTCTAGAATAAATATGTTTTAGAGGATTAATATCATCACTCTGTGGCCTTTCTTGAAAGACAATTGCAATGTGTAAGAGTGGAGGCTGATTGATACAACTGGCACCTATTTTGACCTGGACCAGGGAGAATGAGTGGAGTTATAGGAGTGGCGCTCTGTATTGTGGAAGCCAGACTTAAAGCCACCTTAAAACATAAGACAAATTATGGTCTTAGGTTTTAAGGTGAAAATAACTGTCAACGGTAACCAGTCAGTGCAGTGTTTTAATCTCACAGACTGCTATCAGAACAACTTTCTTCTGAGACATATTGATAAATAAGGCCCCAATATATTTTATATTAGACATGTGTGATTCATTTCAGATGCAATTTTTGTTATTCGGAGAGGTATCTGAATCTTTGAATCAAAATAGTAATGAATCTCAAGGAATCCCACATAAATTATAGCAAAAAAAATTAAGATTTTTGAAGCATCCAAAATAACGTAATGACATAGCAAATGATTCAAGATTAATACAGATCCAATTGGTTTGTTTATTGTTACATTAGAATTACCATTGTTCATTCATTTTTTTTTCTGATCTACTTTTTTGTTTTTCGTTTGCATTAACATTTATCATTATTATCATTCTTTTGGAAAAAAAAATGTATTACATATAAAAAGGAAACATATTGCAATAAATACAGTAAGGTATAAAATTGAATTTAATTGATGATTCCTACTTAGTTTGTTTGGGTTGTATGCAGGTGGATCCATCAGAATATACGTATCATAACATAACAAATTAATCCCAAATTAATTTTGTTCCATTCATTCTTTTGGATACATTTCTTTTTTATTTTGCATTAATATTTTTCATTATCATAAAAAAAAAAAAAATCAGCTCATTCCATTTCTCTTCATGGGTTGGACTAACAGGGATGACTCAGAGTATATAAGTAATATCTCATGAATTAATACATTAAAACAAATGTAGCCAATCTTCTAGAATATACGAAACAAATTCCAAAAAAGAATAATTCTAACACAATGAATACGATGAAGCGAAATGACTTTATTAAATGAATCCGAACCGAAACAAAACAAATATTTTTGTCGTGAACATCTCCATTAGATATATTTTTCTGATCAATGTAAACAATGTGTAAGTGAATATATTAATTTATATTCATGTAATGTATTTCATATTCAAAGAAACATCTAAATTACATATGTTTTATGTATTATCTTATTCAGAGTTTCATCGGAAGTCTAAACTGATTGCCTATGCAGCATTAGCATCAATGTTTTTTTTACTTCACGTTGAAGAAAGTGTAGAATATAATAAATATAATGGAAATTCTTGAGTATTTTAAATTGTCACATACTGTATTCTTTACTTTTAAGCTCCCTTCTGCTTCCGTACATTACAAATTGAGGCTAGCTGTTATTTTCATTGATGACATCTCTTCTCTGGACTACAAAGATTATTCTTCAAGAACATTTCCTCTTAGTTTAATTATTACCTAGACAATTAATGTTTTTGTACACTGAACTTGTGGATCTTTGGCAGTTAGGTTTATCTTTATTACTATTAACTAGTTAGAGATATTAGAGGTCATAGATATAAACAATCTCATGTCACCATTATATTAAGTAATTAGTTATATTAATGGACAGAATTTGCCGGATTCTTATCTTAGTGTGGATACAAATATGTTATAAGCTTTAACAACATCAAATAATGCAAGAATGCCAAACGAAAGTGTATTAATGTAGAAAGCTGGTCCAGGTCCACCATACTCAAATTAAACCATGTACTCACATAAAGACTGGCTTAAAGTGGGGAGAGGAAGGAAGGGTCAGAGTATACCTGTGTACATCTCCGGTGCACTGGGGGTGAACCAGGGTGGTCTCAAAAAAGGACCGATGAAAGCTTTATTCTCTGTATCTGTACGCCTGGGCCTCCTCCAAACCTAATTTTGTACCCAAACTGCCGGTCCCTGATGGCCATACTTGTGTCTTGTTTTGTTTATCTCTGTAAGTTTGTGTCTGTCTTTACTCACTTACCAAGTGGCTGGCCCTGCATCTGTCCTTGCACTCTCCTACACTGTTTGGCACTATATGTGCAGTTATTTTGTCTGCATATACAGTATTTGGTTTCTCCAAATTCCTGTTTTCCTGATTGTATCTGTCTGTATTTCCCTATATATGTTTGTCTGATTATTGTACTGTCCTTTCCCACCTTAATTAAATCTGTATGGCCCTACCAGCACGTATCCATTTAATCCTAGCCTTGTTCCTACTTATCTATTCCTGATGGTCTCTGTTCTTCTTCCCCTATCAACCATACATATGTC